CAATGATCTGAATACAAATTAGAGACTCAGCCTCCCGGTGCCACGTGGCACCGATCAATACATTAATTAGCGCTGGAGCCTCGTCGTCATGAAGACATCAGGTACGTATTCACAACACCTCACAAGTCCTGATCTCATCCCGAATAGTCACGACCCCTCCTTGAAGTATCGAAGCYGATGATCAATAGCCGGTYGTAAGGATCCGACAGTACGACACGTGGCAACGCCACGTCAGCAGCAATACGTGGCGACTGCCACGTCAGCAGATCAGAGACAGTCGCCAGCCAGATAGCAAGCCAGCCAGCGGTAACTCACCATGTCAGCAAATGCCGGCCTTCCTCCAGTCTCGCAGCGTCAAACCAAGGCTGCGAGAGTCAGGCGCTGAAAACAGCGTCAACGCAAGACAGCCAGAATTCCCAAAGTCAAGGAGCCAATGCTCTTATAGTTGACTCGGGGTCTGATCCCCGGTAATATCCAACCTCAGCCGTCCAGATCTCCCTGCCTGGAGGGTCTGGATAGATCTACAACTGTATCTTCTTTGGCCTGGGTCGTAGTCTGGGTACCTGCACTCAACAAGTGAATGAATGTGATCCAAGACATGGCATGGTACTTTGACTGACAGTTGATTTTGACCTTTGATTTTCCTAAGTCTTGGCGTTCGGTCCCACAGCCGTACGCAGTTTACTCAGGCCGGGGCATGTGTTGGGCCCCAGGTCGACTGCTGAGTCTTGGCGGGGCATGTGTTCCTAAGTCTTGGCGTTGGTTACACAGCCCGGCGCAGTCTTCCACAGACTGCGTGGCCTGGGGCTAAGGGTTGGGCCCCAGGTCGACTGCTGAACAGGGTTATTACACAAGTCCGTAAGTGGGATAGTACCTTGGTGACCCGACGGAGGGTTTCCTGTGCCGGTAGTCATCATGGATGACTATCTTTCTGTCTTGTTGGGGCTGCTGTTCCGACTTATGTTCCCACTGGGGTTCGGGCGTGTGTGCACGTCCCGCATGCTGATGCGGTCTGGAACAGTGAAGCCTGGCCCTACACCTGCGGAGCAGGCAGAACTAGACCGCAGGCTGGCAGATAAGAAAAAGGAGAAAGAAGCAAAGAAAAAACAGAAAGAAGAAGAAGCAAGAAAGAAGATGAAAGAGAAGATGGAGAGAGAACTGGAAGAGGAGTTGAAGAGTATAGAAGAAAGTGAAGTAGAAGAACAAGAGGAAGAACAAACACTGCAGAGACGTCGCCAAGATATACCCGAAAGCAGCACAACGACCCGCCTTCACGTTGAATCGCTGGACTGGGGTAGCCGGTACTACTACTCCAGCGAGCCATTAAAGGAAACTGATGAAGAACGAGATACGTTCATCGCCAAGTTGGCCACTGTCACAGATGCTGTTGAACGAAATCTGATGCTGGAGGAAAAAAGGTCTGAATTAAATCGCAGGCTGTTGGCCGCTAGGCGGCAAGAAGTAGAAGAGAAAAAGAAGTTGCATGCGGAGGGGGAGAGATTGTAGAAAGTTCTAGAAGCGCAAAAGGAAAGTCCCTCTGAAACCGAAGCCCAGCTTGCTCTCCTCCGGGAGACAGTCCTCAACACAAGGCAGGATATGAAGTTAATGCATCAGACTCTACAAAGGGTTGAAGCGCATCGAGTTGAATTCGAAAACGTCTGGAATAACTTTGTGGAAAAGTCAGCCAAGGATGTTGACCAACATGTGCAAACCTACATCCAGGCTTTGGACGAACATATTAATAAAGTCTTCACCCCGGAAGTCGTAGAGAAGATTGTAAAGGGAGCTGGAGGCGACGGAGGAGATGGAGATGGCGACGGCGATGATGACAAGAAAGGAAAGAGGAAGATTGGGGATCCAAAAGACAAACCTTCTTAGGAAGCCGGACAGGTTAACAAGATAAAACTTAAACTGCCCTGGATCTACAATGGAAAGAAAGAAGAGAGTGTGTTGCACTGGGCGGCGACAATTGAAACCTATGTGTACGGACAGGGTATCCCATACTGGGACAGGGTGTTGATGGCCACTTCGTGCATGGGAGGCGACGCCATGAGCTTCGCCATCTCGCTGCAGAAGGAAGCGGGATGCAGCTCTATGGTAGAATATTCGCAGTAAACGCGAATCAAGGATTTCCTTAAGTTAATAAGAGAAAGATTTGAGGACAAAAACTTGGCAAGGCGTACAGAAATGTTGATCCTCAGGCTTCGTGACAGGAAATGGAAGAGTACCTCTGCACTAAAGGCAACTATGGATGAACTATTGCAATGCCCTGATCATGAGTTGACGCCAACCCAAATTCTGAACAGTTTTGCACTAGCACTCCCGGATCCCCTAAGAACACAACTCTATCCCCGTACCAAGGAAGAGGGGATGACATATGAGAAGTTCGGCAAGATCGCCATAGATCATGCCGGCTTCCTCGTTGAAGCAAATTATTGCCATTACTGGAAGGATCTGCAAGCGGGTAAAAGATGGCAAAACCGCACCATCTCAGGGTCTATACGTGGGAAAGACAGTCTCCTTCTAACCTTTGAAGAAGGAGGCGCCGAGACCATCTCCTGGGATCAGGTTGACTATGGTCTCGATGAACCCAACAGACCGGTAGYTCAGGAGGGGAGTTASGCGGCTGTTGCRGCCYGCGGGGGAGGGCGTCAAGGAAGAGGGCGTGGCCGAGGAAGAGGTCGCGGCCGTGGTGGACGAGGATTCGGCACCCAGAGGGGTGGTGGTGAAGGAAGCCACTACGTGGGAGGAGGGGGAAATGGTCCCTCATACGGTGGCCGTGGTTCTTACTCCACCTGGGGTAGAGGAAGAGGCTCATGGTACAACAAGTGGGATAAGCCATACCCACCACATCCAGGCCTACCCGAAGGGGAGCCTTGGAAAGAGTTGGGAATAACAGAAAAGGTATGGGCTGAAAGAAAGAAAGCCGACCAATGCCTCAAATGCGGGGACCTCGACCACATTGTCCCCTATTGCCCTGACTATAAGGGGGCAAAAGGGAACAACCAGTAGAGGTGCCAGTTGCCTCTACCGGGGGTTCGAATGTTGAAAAATCAGAATCCTCCCATTCGAAGGCCCCAATGGTAGAAACTGAAGAGGAAGGAAGTCCCCATCTAGTGCACTGTCCAGAGGTGGCCAATGTATGCATCTCTCTAGATGGATCCCTCGCTGGCGTGGGTGATGAGTTGGCCGCTCATCGCCAAGCCTGGACTGAAATGCGAAAAAAGAAAGGACAGCTAATAATTGCAGATCTAGAAATAAATCGAGTTAGAGTAGGAGGTATGATAGACACGCAGTTATATTAGTAAAAGAGGTTTGCAGAAACTGCGTCTTGGGCTTAAGGTTAAGAAGTTAGATGAGCCCATTGTAAGTAAGTTGGCAAATAGTAGTGAAACTGTCATGGATCGATACATCGAGGGAGTACAAGTATACTTTCGGCTAGAGGCAGAGGGRAAGGTGGAACGCGTTCTCCACTYTCTGACYTTCTTGGTGGAGGATAACTTGCCCTTTGATGTGTTGCTAGGAATGGATTGGGGTGAGGCTGCACATGCGGATCTAAAGTTAAGGGAACATGAATGTTGGCTTCCAAATCCGCAAGGAGGTAAGAAGAAAATCTGCCTCTATCATGAATCTGGAAAGGAAAGCAGCCTAGCTCACTGTTGTATGAGTGCCCCAGCGTTCGCTCGCCATGTTAAGAAACATAACTTGTATGACCAAGTCTTTGTTGCATATGTGCGCCCAGTAAAGGAAGGAGAAACAAAGGAAGAAGTCAGGTCCCAAGAGATTGAGAGGATCCTAAAAGAGTTCGCTGATGTGGCTGAAGCCCCAAGTGGTGTGGTGGAAAGACCAATCTGCCAGCGCATTGATATCATTCCAGGGAGCGCGCCCCCGAAGGGGCCTATCTATCGTATGTCGCCCCAAGAATTGGATGAACTGCGAACCCAACTCGATGAGTTGCTGAAAAATGGTTGGATAAGACCTAGCTCCTCGCCCTATGGTGCGCCTGTGCTCTTTGTGCCTAAAAAGGACGGTGGCGTTCGCATGTGTATAGATTATAGGAGGTTAAATAATATAACAGTGAAAAATGTCGAACCATTACCGCGAATAGACGATTTGCTGGATCGCGTGCAGGGAAGCAAAATATTTTCAAAGATAGATCTGAAATCCGGCTATCATCAGATTGAGGTTGAGCCGGAAGACCAACATAAGACTGCCTTCAGGACGAGGTATGGGCATTACGAATTCGTAGTTCTGCCCTTTGGTCTCACAAATGCCCCTGCCACTTTCCAAAGAACAATGAACGAACTATTTCGTGAGTGGCTCGATAAATTTGTTGTGATTTATCTAGACGATATTTTGATTTTCAGCAAAGATGAAAAAGAACATGCTGAGCACCTCCGACTTGTGCTAAATAAGCTGAGGGAAACAAAACTCAAGATAAACCCAAAGAAGTGTGAATGGGCTAAGCGTCAGGTTCTATACCTGGGACATGTGATTGATGGAGATGGGGTCAAACCGGAAGATGCAAAGATAGCAGCAATCAGAGATTGATCGAACCCCCGCACCTTGACTTAGTTGCGGTCGTTCCTTGTGTTAGCCAACTGCTATCGAAAGTTCGTAAGACACTTTACGATAATAGCTGCTCCCCTTCGCCGATTGCTTAAGAAAGAAGTAATTTGGAAGTGGGATTCAGACTGCACTATGTCTTTCAAGCGTCTGAAGAAGTGTTTGATCAATTATCCGGTTCTGAAAGTAGCAGACCCTTCATTACCTTTTGTGGTCACGACCGACGCTAGTCAATATGGTATTGGTGCTGTACTCCAGCAAGATGATGGGCATGGGTACAGACCTGTAGAGTTTGTCTTTCCGCTTACCTAACCAGAAGGTGGCCGCTTCAACGTATGAACGAGAGTTGTACGCTTTGCGTGAGGCTCTCAATCATTGGCGACACTACCTTCTAGGAAGGCATTTTAAAGTATACTCTGACCATGAAACACTTCGCTGGCTCAAAACGCAAGCTCGAATGACACCTAAGTTGACAAGGTGGGCTGCAGAGATTGATATGTTTGACTTTGAGCTGAAGCTAGTCAAGGGTAAGTATAACGTTGTTGCCGATGCACTAAGTCGTAGATCAGACTTTTTCGGTGCTATTGTGACTTATCTAGATGTAGGTACAGACCTACAAGCAAATATTAGAAATGCGTATCCCTCTGATCCTGTTTATGGAGCCATGATTAAGCTAGTGCAAGAAAAGCCAGCAGAGTTTCCCGATCATAAAGTAACTCAGGGTCTATTGTTTGAACGAATTGATGTACATGATAGGCTGTGTATACCCAATAATGAAGAGATCAAGAGTATGATCTTGGGGGAATGCCATGATACAGAAGGCCATTTCGGGTGGAAAAAGACCTATGGGACTTTATTGCGTTCCTACACCTGACCTCGGATGAAAGCGGACTGTATCGCGTATGTGCAGGGTTGCCAAGTGTGCCAACGAAACAAAAATACCACGCAATCGCCCCTCGGGCTACTTAAGCCCTTGCCTATCCCTACCGGCCCTGGAGACTCTGTCTCTATAGATTTCGTGGACACTAAGGTAAAAAGCAGAAATGGGAAGACGCAAGTAATGATCATAGTGGATAGATTCACTAAGTATGCTGTTTTTGTAGCTTTGCCTTCGGAAGCGAAGACTGATTTAGTGATTCGATAATTCTTTAATCATTGGGTGAAAGACTTTGGACATCCCTTAACTATTGTGAGTGACAGAGATACCAGGTTCACAAGTGAACAATGGCAGCAACTGATGAATGTATATGGCTCTAAGTTGACTATGTCATCAGGCAGACATCCCGAGACTAATGGCTAGACTGAGCAGATGAACAAGATATTGCAACAAACTCTACGCATGTACATTCGTCCCGATCAGATTGACTGGGAAACATCTGCCTAAGGTTGCTAGTGCCTATAATAACTCTGTGCACCTATCTACGTGTAAGACTCCTATGGAGTTACATCTGGGATGGCGTCCACGCCGACCCATTGATCGATTGAACCCGGATCAAGTGCATAAGCTTCCTATAGGGACTAGTGAATTTGCAGTCCAATATCAAAAAGACATTGAGAAAGCAAAAGAAAATATACTTAAAGCACAACATCAAATGATTGAACAGGCAAATAAACTTTTGGGTGAAGTCTAAAGAGTTTGCTCCTGAAGAGAACATCTCTCAGAAGCTTCTACCCACCTACAGAGGACCTTGGCAGGTTCTAGACGTAATTGGAGATGTGGATGGTCCTTCGTATGTCATTGAGATTCCTCCTCATCTACGTACATATCCAGTGTTCCATGCGTCCAAGCTCTTACCTTGTGTAACAAATGAGCTCTTCCCAAGTCGCCGATCAGCAGTACCTCCAAGTATGGATGGGAAGTATGACGTGGATAAAATTATTGCAGAAAGTACTTACCACATTGGACGTAGAGGCAGACCACAACGACAGTATAAGGTGAGGTTTGCATACCAGGATCCTAGTGAAGATCGCTGGTTTACAAGGGAAGAACTGTTAGATTCTGCACCTCATATTGTGTCTGCATACGAAAGCGCAAAGAGAGGAATTCATATCCTTGATAGGTAAATGATTCTCAGAGGACTTCGAAACTAGGCCGGCGAGAGTAAAAGGGCCTTTACCTGATATAGGCCTCAGGCCTTGTAGAAATAAAGCAGCACGGGCCTTGAAAAAGTAAAGCATTGTGAAAAGGTATCTCGCCAGGGCTCAGAAACGTGAAAGCAGGTCAAAGGTCAAGTTCTCTATCAACAGGCACATCTARATCTAARSCAAAGGGCATTGTCAAAAGACTTACCTGTTCACCAGGGGGGGTGTGTGTCATGTCTGTTTGGGTAAGAGTGTGTCTGTACGTGCAGACAGTGTACCTGTTCGTGCAAAGGAAAGTGTCTGTTCAAGCAGTAAATGTGTCTGTTCGTTGAGAGTTGTGCCTGTCCGAAAGTAAAGACAATAGGCACAGTCCCAGTTCTGGTCTAAGTCAAGGGGTCAGTCCAGATCCAGACTTTCAAGTCCAAATACAGGCCGAGAAGCCTCAGCAGCAGTTGAACTTC